GCGGGGAGCCCTGGCCATGCTGGGGGCACGGTGGTGGGCCCCTCCACCACGGTCCAACCTGGTGGCTACTGCCGGGCTCTTGCTGATGCTGTCAGGCACCATGTACCTGGGTGCCACTTCCTACATGGCTCATCGGGTGCTGCAGGATTTGGCCAGCCCGCAGACTCCCCCAGCAGACCGCTTCCACCTGGGGACATGCCTCTACCTGGGCTGGAGTGGCGGAGGAGCAGAGGTGCTGGCTGGTGTCTGCCTGGCCACCAGCTTCTGCAGGAAGAGGGGGTTTGTCAGGAGGCTGCCTGCTGCCCCTTACGAGGTGGATTATTGAGGCGCTGGGACAGACCGGTTCCTGCTGCGCGTGTCACAGGATGTTGCTGCTCGCTGTGAGGTGACAGCGGCTCCTCAGCCTCCCAGCCTGGCTGCCCTGCACCCCTGGACACCCCTTGGACCATCATTGGGTGGAAGAGGTTGGTCTATTCCCCGTCTTTACCTCTTTTCACTCTTAATTTTTAATTCACTTGGCTGTTTCTTGATTGTGCTTTAATCCTTATGCAGATTTTAGCCTCTGCAGCTGCTTCTAAATAAAGAGCATCCCCATACCCAGCTGTAGCACATCTGTAAGGGGCCGGGTGGCACAGGGACTCCACCATTTCCAGGGTGACCACATCTCCATCCCCATCCAGCTCCACACTCTCCCCTTGCACCTTGTGAGCTGTGTAAAGGCCCAGAGCACCCCAGTCCTCCCCGGGATGCCTTTCCAGCTTCATTGCCCTTCCTGGCCTCACAACACCATCAGAGCCTGTTCCTGTCCCCCCACCCGATGGGTGGGTGCCATCACCCCCAGCTGGGCTGGCACAACCCATGGGGAGAAGAAAGCAGGGCACAGAGGGATGCCACAATCCCTTGAGGATGATGGCACATACATGCCACTGGCTGGGACACTTCGGCGCCAAGAAAAATCATCAGCCCCTGTCTACACAGTTTTATTTACAGCAGAGAGACCCTGGCTGGGCCGGTGTGCATGGCAGGGGCACATTCATCCAGGAAAAGGGCTCCGTTGTCAATGTGAAACTGAGGTAAAACATCCTTGAAGAAGGCAAGACTGTCACTGCAACGTCCGGCCCCAGGGAGGGGGGATGTAGGAGAAGTCACTTCTCCTGTGGCAAGTCCATGCTGGGGGCCAAGCCTTCAAAAATGTCATCAGTCCCCCTGGGCACACACCCCCCAGCACGGGCAAAGCACCCGCTTTGCTCCTGCAGCACCATGATTTTTATTGGCAAAGATCTGTGCCAGAGAAGTCCCAGCGGGGTGTCAGGGTTCAGCTGCCTCTTCAGGGGGGTCATGCTCAGCCCCCCGCCCCCCGTCGCCCTCCTGGCCCTCTTGCCTTGCCCAGCACTCCCGCAGCTCCTGGTACAGCTCCTGGTGCTCTTCCTTCCAGCGTGTGAACTTCTCCGAGGTGAGCTCAGCATCGCCGAGCAGCTGCTCCAGGGCCTGCAGCTCCTCCAGCTTTGCCTGCAGAGGGAAAGGGGCATGTTTTGGGGTGGCTGCCCCTGGGCGGGGAGCTTTGGGGGGGTGAGGGGGCTGCGGGCTCTCACCTTGAGTGTGCTCTGCAGGGCTCGCACCACGTGCACCTTCTCATTGATGTGGGGGTTCTTGTTGCGCCGGATGAAGGACTTGCGGCACTGCTCCTGCGTCAGGAACCGCTGCCGCCCGATAAGGGACACCCCACCCTGCTTCAGGCACCGCATCAGGCACTCGAGATCCTCCCCGGCGGGCTCTGGGTGACACGAGGGGACACCATAGCAAGGGGGCAGTCCCGAAACCCCATGGAGCTGCCCCCACACATGACCCTGCCCTGAGAGCACCCCAAGACACCACATGGTTCACACTCAAATACATCCCAACTCAAGTTACCCTCCCAGCACACGCACACACCTGCAAAAGGGTGGCCCTAACTTCGATTAAAAGGTGCAGACAAGCTGACAGGGTGACAGATGTCACCCCCCAGCACCTACCCAAGGGTGAGCAGGGCCGGGGACTGCCCTGGGGGCTGCTGGCTGCGCTGCTGGGCTCGCCACTGGCCGGGTAGAGCTGGGCTTTCTCCGGGGCGTTTTGCAGCCTCTTCTTTGGCTGGGAAAGAGATGGGGCAGGAGGTGAGATGAGGATCTCCCATTCCCTCCCCAGCATCTCCCATAGGGCCACTCACCGAGTCGCATCCATGCCTGGGGGACTCATCATCAGGGTCCTCGGCTTCTGTCTCGCTGTAGCAGTCTGGAGGCCACGGGGGAGGATGGTGGGAGTGGGAAGCCCCAGGCTGCCCCCCCCGCCCTCTCCAGGGCTGAGCATCACCCCTGCTCTCCACTCATGGAGCATTTCTCACATAGGCCCCAAATCATGGGCAAAGCTCCCAGTGATCCTGTGCCCCACCAGGACCCCCAGCCCAGAGCTCCCCATAGGGTCCCCATGTCCCACAGGGGAACCGAGCCCGTCTCCCACCTCGGGAAGAGCCTGTTACCTTCCTCCCTGTCTGGGACCGACTGGTGGGCCAGCGCATACTTCGTTTTAGCTGTTATCAGGTGACTGACCCACCTGGGGAATGAAAGGATGGATGGACAGAAGGTGATGGCCAGCACGGTGTGGTGGGACCCGCACGGGCTGTCACCAACCGGCACATTACTCACATGCTCAAATCGGCCAGCGTTTCTGCGGCGAAGATGAAGGGTTTGTACCTCTGATGGGAGAGCTGGAACACGCTGGAGGAGGACAGGCCTTTGCTGCTGGAGCTACCCAGCACTGGAGCCAGCCCTGAGCCCCCATCCAGCCCCCCCCCTGCTGGAACCCCCCTGTCCCAACCCAGCCCAGGTGTCTGGGCTTTTCCCTGCCATCGGAGATGCTCCAGTCCTCAGCCCCGGCCCAGATAACACCGGTAGGACAATGCACATATTGCTCAAAGTGTGGCCTCCTGTGCTGTAAGCCAGGAGGTCCTGCCAGCGCTGCAAGGACCCCACCAGCCCCATGGGGACCCCACCATCGTCACAGGGACATGCAGGTGGTACCCAACAGGGCTGATTGGCATGTGCCCTGGGGACAGCATCCTCCCCTCCACCGCCAGCTGGGAGATCCACGGTGAGACAGATCCCACTCACTATTTCTTCTTCTGCTCCCTCGTGCTCTCCAGGTCATAGGTGGCCACGTTGATGAGACCTGCAGCCTTCTCATCCTGCTCGGGAGACACAGACACATTCACTGCCTGCCTCGGCAGCCCCAGGCGGGGATCGAGGACACCCGGCATCCCCACTCACATTGGGGTGGTGGTACCAGTAGAGTGTGTGGCCCTTCAGCACAAACCAGCACCGCTTCCACTTCTGGGCCATGAAGCCCACGTGGTCTTTCTTCTTCAGGAGCCAGCCATCGCAGTCCACCCGGCCCAGGTCCCGGCATGAGACCCGCCGGCGGCTCAGCCTGGTCGCCACTCCTGCTGGCCACAGTGGTGATGGTCAGATCAAGAGCAGGGACGGGGGAGCAGGGGGAGCAGCCGGGAGAGCCTTCAGCCCCGTTCACCCCAGTCCCAGCAGCATCCCTCTCACCTTTCGGTCTGCGTCCCGTCTGGGGGCTGCCCTAGATGGGGAGACAGAGATGAGCAGTTAGGGATCGTGCAGGGGGGCGAGGGGCAGGGCAGCGTTAGCTAAGCCCCCCCGGCAGTACCCCCAGCTCCATAGGGACCCCCAACTCACACACCCCACAGCAGCGAGCTCAGCAGGGACATCCCCCCCATCGAGGGATGGGTGTTTTGCCTCCCAGCTCAGGCAGGACGTGAAGTCTCACACGTCCCTTATTGCCATCTCCCCAGGGACACCCCCCCTCCCGAGGCTCAGCACTTCTCTCCCACCAACTCTCACCTCCTTGGGGGGTTGGCCGTGCTCCGCACCCCCAGTCCCCGTGGCAGGGGTTGCCGTGGGGCTGAGCTCTGCAGCGCAGGGTCCGGCGGCAGCGAGGACACCCAGGGAGCACGGGGTGCCCGGTGGGGTGCCTGGTGGGGTGCCCAGTGGTGTGCCACCTTCCCACGCTACGTCCTCCTCTGCAGCACCTGCAAACAGCGAGCAGGGCTCCAGCCTCCCGTCCTGGGGGAAGAAACCGCCCCGTCCCCGGACATCCCCTCCTACCGTGGCCGGACAGTCCCGGCAGCCG